ACGCCTGGCTGATTCGTGCTCAGACCCATGGCTACACCAGATCGCTTGATTCACCCACACACATTATCTGCAGCTACAGTAGAAGAGAAGAGAAACACTTTGATACACGGGCATTTCACCGGTCGTCTAGAGCATCCACTACGAGGTGTCGTGTATTCTCCGGATGGTAATAATAAGTTCGTTTTATACAGGAAATCACATAATAGACTGTTAATGCTTGACATACCCGTGCGGAGTCAGCAGCATATCGGCGTCCATCAGCTGCGAGTAGAGCCAGCACGGCTCGTGCGCGTTGTCGTGCACTATCTGCACCACCTCCCACGTCGGCCCCAGAAGGTGCTGGAACACGGCCACGTTATCGTCGAGGGACAAGAGCCGACGGTTGTCGTTCCTCTGGTAGATCACCAGCCGTTGTCGCCGCTTTCTGCTCACAAAACACACCACGTTGCGATAAGCAGTCACCAGAGGACGGGGGGGAGCGCATTGGATCACGGGGAGGGGTGGGGGGTGGGGAGGGGATTCTAATGTATTGCTCGCCGAGAGTCAGGTGGACGATTGATCACGCTCCACAATCAAGACACGGAGAATTGAGCTGCTTGTGCCACAATCCGCGGGGGGGCGATAACCTGAGGCAAGTGGATCTTAACTGTCGTTCTTCGGGAGGTGGGTGGAGGGGCACAGAGATCACATCTAAGGCAAAAAGTCCGCCGAACAGAGAAGTGTTCTTCCTCCTTCCGCGCACCAACCTGCTAGACTCTCTCCCGTCGCCACCCTCCTTTTCCGCGGCGTGCCGCCCCTCCTGGCGCCGGCGGTACACGTCGCCGCAGAGGGCATCTATCCTAGCTCTCGTATTCTCCACCTATTTGGTTGTTTCGTCAAGTTTCGAAACAGGACGGCGTGATCATTTCAATCAAGCTCTTGTACATATCGGGGCCCCACATGATGTAAAGTAGCCTGGTGCGTCAATGCGCTGGGTCGTTACAACGCCCAACAGCCAGTAAGACAACTCGAGGAAGGCTGAAGGAGCTATAGGTTGGTTCCCAGCGGTCACACCTGCATCATTTGTGGTACACGCGGATGATACGTACATGCGGATGTTGCGGATCTGTTCGAGCACAAGAAAAATGCTGGCCAACACGACCGAACTCGGCTCACAGCTGATGTGACGCGCGGGCGTGTCCACAAACCTTTTCCTCGCGGAACCAGTACCCCCGTTCCACCGGCGCAGCCCCGAACTCCCCGATATATCGCGCGCACGCGCACGGCCTGGTGCGTGGCTGCTGCCGCTGCCCGGCCAGGGTGGGGAGAGGGAAGAACTCCGGCCCCTCTACCTCTTCCGCCTCCGCCCTCGCAGCGTACTGGTACTCCGCACGGCGGGCATCATCGCGACGCTCATGTTGTTGCGCCCCGGCTTCTCCACGTCGGCTTAGGCTCGCGCCTGCCGCCTGATCGATTGCGTTCGGGTCCGCCGCCGTTGTGGATGCTTCCGCTGCTCGTGCTGCCTGGCTGTCGTCTAATCGCGCCGTCAATATTCGCGAGGTGGCCGCAGCAGTGTCTAGCTCTGCGGGGCCGCGGTTATATCTGAGACTGCTGCGGTCTCTGCCGCTGCCGTCGGTCCTGGCCGCACCTCTGTAGGCCGTCGACCCGTGATCAAGCTGCTGGCCCGCCGCCATCCCCGCCGCCAAGGATTCCGCCACGCCCAAGGCTCTTCTTGCGGCTACCTCACCCCCTACAGTCGGCTCTCCGGTGTGCTCGCCGCGGACGTCAACATCAAAAACCACACTGGCATCACCATCGCCATAAACCTTCGCTTCTCGCCCCACTGGCTCCTCCCTGCCCCAGCCCCCGTCCCCGCCCCTCACCCCGCCACCGTTTTCCCCGTCTCTGAGCGGGGCCCAGGCAAGTCGCCGCGTGCCCTCGCCGTCCTCCCAGTTGTAGTTTCTTTCGAGCACCCGCAGATGGTTACCGCTCGAAGCGTTGCTCGTGTCCGCAGCACGCGAGCCTCCTGGCGCCTGCCCGTGCAGCAACTGCCGCCGTCGATGTCGCTCGGCAACGCCGCCATTGCCGCCGCGGCCCGCTCTTCTGGCGGTAGTAGCGGAGTCGGAATCGCCGGCAGCGGCCGCTTCATCGGCCGAGGCTGCTGCCGCATTTCTTGGACTCTCCTCGTCTTCTCCGGAATCACCCGACAACTTCGTCAACTTCCGGGATGGCCGTGTGGCCTGGCGCTCCCCTGGCTGGTACCGTTGAGTCCTGACCGGTCCGAATTCGTGGTTCGTATCCATACAAGGCGGCGGTTAGCAAGAAGAACGTGCGCAACGTGAGGAAAATGGACAGGGGTATCACCGGTAATGACGCCTAGGAGGCGCGCTCAAACATTCTCGCATCTCTCTACCAAACCGGAGTGGGTGGACTAGGCCGAGAGGGGGAGACCAGTGGACAATCGCACGATGTCATGGGCACCTGTGGACATATGCAATCGATCTCTGCCGGACATATCCGTGAAACATGAAAACCCGGGGCGCACAAACAGGACAGGCGGTGGAACACTCGAAATGCCATCAGGGAGAGCACGTACGTCTCTCGGGCAGGGCGGAGACGCGTGACTCTCACAGAACTCTCCGTCACTCCTGCATCACCAATACAGAAAGACTATTTCCCGCATCCCGGGGCCCCCCAACCACCCTCCGTTCGGCCACCCTGCAACACAGTTCTAACGGGCCGCATCGCTGCGCCTCGCGTCGCACCTTTGGAACACGGGTAGAGAGCTGTCGTAGACGTAGGACTCGACGCCGTTGTTGTCCAGCACCAGCACGTCCCCAGCGATGGCCAGCTGGGCCAGCGCCCGCCGCGGCAAGACCTCCGCGGTCCTCGCCGTGCCGTCGGTGAAGGCCAGCAGCAGCAGGAAGAAGGTCATCGGGATGAGGTTCGGCACGAACTCCTCGTGGGGGGCCACGATGTAGACGGTGGCGTTTCGTGGGAGTTTTGGCGCCACATGAATGTGCCGGCTGCTTGGACACAGGGGAAGCGCAGTGCGGAAGAAAGCATTGCAAGCGGCAGTTGGGGGAAGGGGGCCATGAGACGTGACCTGCCGTAGTGCACAACACGTCGTGTAAGCCAGTGGAGGCGATCCTATCCCCCCCCCCCCTCACACTAGAAAAGAAGGCACCCAAAAATGCCGCTAAAAAACAGGCATCTCGTGTCATCAATAGCTACCTCCTAAGAGGGAAGGAGGACAAGAGCCAATCCGCCGAGAACATCCGTGATTCACCTACCATTTACATACCCGCACACACCTGACATAGTACTCGCTGATGTGAAACCAGTGGCTGCTGTTGAATTTTTTGTACGGAAAGCTGAGGCCGATCACTACCTCACTTCGACCCTTCAGCCCCGCCAAGCTCTCCGGCGTGCACTGGCAGGGAAGTGGCTCCGACCGGGTCACTAGCCCAGGATGAACCCTTGGGTTCGGCCCGCCCGGGTACATCTTGAGAAAGGGGTCGGGGGGTGGGGCGGAGTGGTCGCGCCATCAAAACGAAAGGAATGTGTGAGTAGATGGCACGTGCCCTGCATACACAGGCAAGAGTTTGAAGCGCATGGTCGCCGAGAAGTAGGCAACTACAGCAGTTACTGCTGTGGTTTTCCACGTGGTGGAAGCACTTTTAGCGTAGCGTCGCTGCAAGGGAGACGCCCCGCGAAGAGCGCCCCGAAGTGTCTTGCTCCCTACATTCTCGGAGAAAGAGGCCGACGGGGCTCGCTGGGATGCACGCATCACAATTATGAAGATATCACGTTGTCCGCAGCGCCAACAATTCAGATGCGCGCGGGGGGGGGTGGTTGAGCCGGCACAAGCACACTAGACGGGCTGATGGTACAATGAGGGCCGGGGGCAGGAGGTAGGAGGTGTAGGGGTCACAAGGGGGTGGGTTTTAAATTTGAAACCGACAGTCTCAACCGGCTGGTTTTCGTTCTGAAACAGGAGAGAAATTGCTCGCCTTTCCAACGACAAGACAGGGTATCAGATGCCGCAAGTACCGACGAAGGAAACCTGTGATGTGCCTTTGCTTTGTTCAACTTGATGACCAGCTCGCCGTTCACAACATGCCGGAGAGCACATGTAACACAGTACAGACGTCGAGAGAGCTCGGAGATACTGCTGTATCTATCTTGTTACTACCGTTAGACGTTAGACATCTGAGGGGATACATTCAAGTTTCGGGATGCACTGCTGCAGTACCAGCGCGTGCACCAAACGACCATATGGCAGCGGTCGCTGCACATAAACCACACTACAAATCTGTGCACCTTTCTCCCGTAATTTCTGGTCTCACCTCTTGGACGTAGCCTGGCCGGAAGGGCTGGGTCAAATGGACCAGAAATATGGAGTAGATACTCATCACGACCGCTACGATAATCATGTAAGGGAGGCATGTCTTGTGCTGCAACCTCATGGTCGGTGCAGTCGGGTCAGCACTGCGAACAAGTATTTCCGTGAACCTGAACCGTGTGCGACGGCGCGGGCGTGCGAGCAACCAACACATCATACGGCAACGCAAGGCAACGGTCTGAGGGGGGACGCAGGTGGATTTACCCTGGGCAGGGGTATGTGATAACATTGACTCTGCACTCCGCACCCCCGGATGCGGTGCAATCTCGGAATCTCATGGTGTCACATCAGCATCAGCGCATCAGCATCAGCCTCGACCATCATCATTGCGTTTCTACGGAGGAGTCGCCGGAAGCCTGGTGTGTTTGCTGGACATGGTAGCTCGTACGGCGGTGGCCTTTGGGCGGAAAGCCAAGGTGAATGACGTGCTTATTGTACTACTGACTACACTTTTACTCATGCTACAAAAGATACATGTGAGCAACGATCGAGGGCGTCGGAGCTCCCGTCTTACCGCGAGCATATGGTACAACAGGAGTCATCTCCACTTCAGATGTTTGGTATTGCTATAAGCAAATATGACTTCCGACGCGGCATCATTATGGAAAGAACCTACAACCAGTGCGTGAAGGACTCATGGGAACAATGAATTCACCCGAAACGAGATGGGACCTAGGTCGGGTCAACCTTGTAGACTAGCTCATGACGACGATACGTGTTCGTTCACGGATAACTTCAATGTAGTCACCAGATCCCTTGCTTCCGCTATTATTTGTATGTGACGGTGCTATGTGGTCGCCCCAGCGAAATTAGTGTGCTAGACGAACGCAGCTCGTCGTGCTGTTTCTTCTACCGCAATTGAACGGGGTTCGTTCAGGAATTATTACGACACAGCGCTTGCGGACAGAATAAGATCGTTAAACAACAGCGAGAATTTCGAAAATTGTCGTACTCCGTGGGGGCGGAGGGCGACAATGATGATCACTCGGCACGTTCCCGAAACACAAGTTGGCGCGAGAGAGCCAGTTTCAAGACGACGCTTCCTGGAACCATGCAAACGTTAAACATTTGCCACCAACGTTCATGTACACAGGCTGCCCTGCACCTCTCGCTCAGCAACGGTAGGGCACACTGCGGGTGCAATACATGATCACCGTTGCCAATGCCCCCTGACAATAGCTTTCGTCTCGCCACTTCACAGGTCGCAGTGCTACAGCCGTTTTTGAAGCGCGTGAGCGGATGCGCACGTGGTCCAGAGCAGGACCAGCTTCGACCAACGGCAACGTACGGGGAAGCGAAAAGTAAACTCGAAGAGGCGGTAGCTCTCGCGGACACGCTGGGCTGCGAGGTTGTATTCAAGGAGGTATAGCTCGCGGGCGGGGATTGAGTCCTTGTAGCAAAATCTCACCACAGAGTACCGAACCGCTGGGAAACCGGCTTCGATTGGTTGTTTCCTTCTCTTTAGTCCAGCTCTTCTCCGGTGTGGACGATTTCACTCGTATGCACACACCCGCAGACCGAAATCAAGCTAAGTCGGTAAACGTCGCCAAGGGTTCATGGTCGTTGAAACCTTGCACAGGTGTATGCCGGAGAAGAGTGCGTAGATGAAGTCATCGTCAATATCAGGTGGTAAATGGGGCCCTACAGGCTGAAAACCTTTATGTGAGGAAGGTTTGCCACGACTTTTGCCCCCATGACACAAAAGCGGAATTAGGCCCAATAGCGGTAACCCCGGGGAATATCTACTATAAGCACGACCCGACCACATTGTAGCGGATTTTCATCCACGCCACCTTTTTATAACTCCCCTATCTCGCGACCCAACCGCCGGTATTCCTCTTTTTTATCGAAGGTGGTGCAGCTGCGGAATGTCCACCCCAAGTTTGTTTTCGGCAGCGGCAAGACGTCCGAGATGTCTGGTGCCATTTCCGCAGCAGATGCGGATACAATCTTCGTAAACGCGCCCCTCTCCGGACAGCAGCAAAAAGCCCTTAGTGCCGAGTGGGGCGGTGCGACCGTGCTTGATCGGTTTGCCGTTATCCTCGATATCTTCGCTGACAGAGCGAGGACGACGGAAGCAAAGCTACAGGCGAGGGTCGTTGCATGATGAATGCTGCATCGGCACCTGTGGTGGCAGCAGCAGCCATTGGACTTGCAAATCGTTTACATCTACTTTTCATAGTCTCATTTTCAAAACTACAGCAGCAGTACGGGGACAAGTTTAGCACATCTGCACCCGGTTTTCCATGAACAAACGAGACCAAAACCAGCAGAGGTAGAGGTAGATTGGTCACGTTCCTTGTGGCAGGTGCCTGGGTTGATGGCGGTTGGTAAGATGCCGCAATTGGTTACCACTGTTGTGTCAAGTACAAAAGAGAACCGAAAAAAGAATTATTGTTGTTTACAAGGTACAAAGCTAGACACGTACACAAGAAGCGTTCGTATACTCACTTTTGGACCATCGCCTCCCAAATCAATGCAACAGGTGGAGCTTGCAATGCTCAAGTACAAAGCAGCCCATCTCGTGAAGGGCTCGGGCAGTGGCTTCGATCGCCAGGGCGGTGGCGTCGGGACGATGGGCGGCAGCGGCGAGAAGGCGATCGACACGCAGCGCCGGCTGCTGCGGAATCGCACGGCTGAGGTCCATCGCCAGCTAAAGGACGTCGAGCGCCGGCGAGGCTTCCAACGTAGCTCTCGGGATCGAAGGCTTGAGGCGAGCGTGGCTCTCGTGGGCTACACCAACGTGGGCAAGTCTTCGCTCATGAACCAGCTGGCGCTAGGGCGGCATAGCACTCGCGGCGTTGGAGGCGGAGGGGGTAATCGAGAAGGAAGAGGTGGCGAAAGAGGAAGGCGCTTTGAAGGGGCCGGCGGCGGAGCGGGAAAAGGGAAGGGCATGGTGCAGGCTCGAAACCGGGTGTTTGATACACTAGACCCGACCGTCCGATCGGTAACGTTGCCGTCACGCGTAAGGTAATTGCACTCAGGTTGAGCTTTGTACTTCCACTCCTGGGATTGGGCGATTGCTTTAGATTTTTGGAGATCCAACCCTTGTACCCTTCGCACACGAGTACAGTCATTTGGTCCTCTACCTCAGCGAAGGCATGCTTGACAACTCGTGCCGGAAGGAGCCACACGTGGGAGGCGCAAAAAGTCTTTCATCTTTTGTGTGAACGCCGTTTCACCAAGGACACCGGCATCACAATGATGCGAACGAAACCCCATTCACGCCCCCCCTTCTGTCTCTGCGCAATCTAATAACTCAACCCCTTCGTCCTCGACGACACTCTTTCCTTCCGTGGCGGACCCGTCGAGCAAGATGTGTCTTGGTTGATACCGTAGGTTTTATCCAAGACTTGCCGACGGACCTGGTGCACTCCTTTAAGTCAACGCTCGAGGAAGTCAAGAGCGCGGACGTGCTCTTGCACGTGCGGGACGCCAGCGTAGAGCCCCGCGTGTGCGAGGCCCACCGAAAGGCCGTCCAAGAGACACTGGCGGAGCTAGGTGCCGGGGGCGTCCCGACTCTTGAGGTCTGGAATAAGGTGGACAAGGAGAGAAGGCTCGACCCTGAAAATCGTGGTGCTAATACCGGTGCTGGCCGTAGCGATGGCGGCGGCAGCTATATGAGTCTCCCATACGAGGCGGAGGCGGAGAAAGCGAACCGACGGACGGAAGGTCCTGCTGGCGAGGGCGGCAGCAGGTTGAGCCATGCGCGCGAGGGGCGTACTGGGCCGGATGACGAAGGCGCAATTCGGGTATCGGCGGCTTCGGGTCAAGGCCTGGCCCATCTGCTTGAGAGGATAGACGCCATGCTTCACTTGAATGGAGGCGCGGACGGGGAAGGAAGCGGGAGGAGGTTCTCAACAAAACCGATCGATCGGTACGAGTACGTTCGAGTCTTACCGGGGCAGTCACAACAAGGATACAAGTGATTACCGAGGACTTTTTTGGTGCGGTACACGGCTCGGAAAATGCCGGGCCAGGCTACTTGCACGGGGCCACAACAGCTCGTTCGTCGTCAACAGAAAATGCCGGGCTAGGCTACTTGTACGGGGCCACAACAGCTCGTTCGCCGTGAACAGAACTCCGCCTCTCTTGTTCAAGGGAGCAACGATCAAACCCACATAGGACTAGCGCAGCAGATGCTTGGCCTACAAGGGCACCTTGCTTTTCTTGAGGCCACCGGGGTTTGAGGAAGGCCGGACGCGTTTCGATGTGTTTCTACGCTCGAACGAAGCCAGGGCTATAAGCTATCCGGTGTATGCAACAGTTACGGAGTACCTGCCGAGTGCATGTTGCTGTCGCTCGTTGCACTGTCGCCATTGCCGGACAAGCTGCATCGCATGGCGAGAGAAAAACGTATGAATTCGCCTGCACAACAAGGCAAACAAGGGTTGGCTCGCTCCATGTACTGTATGTATGAGGGGATCAATTGCAGCTGGACGACCAAAATTTTCGCTCATGAACAACACAAAAAATGCATTAAAGACGTTTGAAGGTAACACACAATTCGGACGGAAACAGCACGATCCACCCATTCACCTAGATATTGATATTCCCACAAGCAAAAACACGCAGCCGTATGTCTCGTACTAGGTTGCCTGGATCACGAAACCCTACCATGCGCAAAACATCAATCGCACCCACCAAGACCTCGGGCGAAGCAGTCCCTCAACCTATTCTTCTCCCTGCGAGCCTGAGCAACAAGTAACGTTCACTCGCAGCCACTGCCGAGTCCAGTATCTAACCATTATCCGGACTCGAGCTGCTGCATTGCAGGGCAGGCCGTACCGGACGAGACCAATACTTCCCGGAGAGAACGTGCCACGTTCTCTTCCGCAACCCAAAGCTCTTTTGTCAGCTTGGATCAAACTGGGAACACCACGTAGTATGTTGTCTGCTGGGACTGCAGCCGCCATACCAGGCTTCCGCACAGAAACACATCGAGAGAGAGACCAGCCATCAATAACGCGCTCTCCCTCTCGAAGAATGAAACAAAAAACAGTAAACCTAGTGCTGCTTTCAACCAACTCTTCGACAATCTGTGTAGGCAGCCGCGGGCGAGAAAACATGCTGACATTTTGGCTACTTCAGGCTGCGGGCGGCGGGGGCGGCGAACGTCGTCTCTCTACAGCGGCCTTCACAGCCTCCTCCAGCGTCTGAGATATGTCGTCGCGTTTGGTGAGCTGGGCAGGCGTTATTCCGGCCTCGTCGGGCGCGTCGGGGGAAGCCCCCGACTTGAGTAGGAAGCGCACCACGTCCTGGGGAAGGGGCGGGGACAAGGGGGCACAGTCGTTGGGGGGAGGGGGGGTATCAAGTACAAGCTTTGGATTGCAACATCATTCGCGTAGCACTGACTCTCAGTATTCAGTGAACAGGAGTGCACCCGTTTAAATTTGCGTGTGTTCTACGCCATTTAGTTGACGAAGCGAGATCCCATTGTGTCTCCACAAAACGGCAGATACTCCGCACGGATTGACAGCGAACAAATCAATCTAGCAGAAAGATGTTAAATCTACACCACCTGCAAGCCACTCGAGAACCGGGCCGCTTGTGAAGACGTTCAAGAGATCCGCCTCGCAAGCCAAAAGTGAGAGCTGTTGTATTTAGCTCGAACCAAAGTGAAAATAACAGATTGAATCCTTCACTGCCATCCACTCATACCCCTACGAGCACGACGATACAAAAACACGTTCCCCTATCAACAAGATTAACCCACCACATGGTCGTTTTGACAGGCCAGGTGCAGCGGCGTGGTGTAGAACAGGTTGCGTTGGCTCGCGTTGCAGCCGTTCTTTATGAGTTTTTCCACCGTGGCAAGGTTTCCCGAGCGGGCGGCTGGCGACGATGGGGTCGTGGGTTAGGGTCAGTCGGTGGGGGTCCCCTATTCATGTGGACGCTGTTTTGAACACGACACAAGGTTCGCATGAAACACGAATCCCTTTCGAGATGGAGCACTTGCGCTCTACTCCCAAACAGGCATCGTCAATATTCGCGGGTGAGCCTTACTGACACGCTGACGAGGAGAGGGGGGGTATCACGGTCGTCGTGAGGCCTGCAACCATGCAATCTCTTTCTGCCTTTCAAAGGACAGCAGTAGCTCGGAGTATTCATGAGTAGTGTGAAAAACGAATCAACAAGGAGAGCACATCAGCTCTCTCATTGAGTGGAATTTCAGCTCAGGCCGGAGTATCGGAACAGTTTTCGAACCAGGCGTGTGTTTCATCCGTATTTGACTTGGATATTGGAATCTACCAATGCGTACCGCTCTTGTCTCACCTAGGTGAAGAGCAACCAGCTGCAGCTCGGCGCTCTTCTTGGTCAAGCTGGCGCCACTGTCGATCAGGAGGTCGGCGCATTCGCCCCGGTTGTAGTTGCAAGCGTAGTGCAGCGAGGTCCCTATTTTCGTGGCCCGGGAAGAATAAATGATCAAGCACAGCAGTTTGAGGGATTGGGCCTGTGATGGCGCGTGTAGCAAGTGGATTGTATGGACCCAGATTTTGATCAAGATATGCGGAAATGTCGTACAGCAGTTGCAGCCTTCGACAGCACGGCTCACGCAACAGATCTGGGAGTTCCAATGCGCAGGTAGCCGCTCCAAAATGTCCTCTACTGATTTCCCGTCGAACTTTCACAATCTCTGACGCAGCGAATTTGTTAAAAACACCCACCGTCTTTCGTCGTTACTTTAGATCAGTGCAGTGGATTTGTTTTGCCATGGTTTTAGAGAAGGTATGTATATGGAGGAATACTGCGAGACATGCTAACAAAGACAAGACCCAACCGCTGCTACATGATCCTAGACGGCGTGTTGTCCGGAACCGGGGGCGCTCTGTCAAACAAAGTTTCTGCAAATTCACCATCCCCAACCATGTGGACTCTGCTCTCTTTGCCTTGCCACTTAGGCAGGTCTTCGCATCACCTCCTCCGCCCTACAACCCCATAACCCCCATGTATCTTTCACTCCTCCAAAAGTCTGAGTAACTTATGTATCTTTCCCTCCTGGGAAAGTCAGAGTCCGCCACTCGAACATTCAGTTTCAGCATTTCCTCGGAGTCCATCCGGCCATTGAGGTAGATTTCGTTCCAATCTCTTGTTGAGGCTTCCCGCATCCCTTTCAAGTGTTCCTCACGTGCACCTTCAACAGCGGCAGCCTACATCAGACTGTCTAATCTTTCTAGAGGTAGTGGTTCATTCCCATCTCTTCTTTTCAGTGTCTTCCTCGCGTTCCACCCTCATTTGCACCAGCCTTCCTACAGTACCACGTCATTCTACGGGACGCTCTGGTCCATCCCTCACATGATCCAAAGTCCAGCGCGTTGATGTCGAGATCCTTCACCTCGTCCAGCAGGTACCGGATCACGGCCGCGCTGCCGTAAAAGGCGGCTACGTGCAGCGGGGTCATCTTGTATGCCGTCCTCGCCTCCGTGTCCGCGCCCATCGAGATAAGCAAGGAGGCCACCTCGGGGCTGTCGCCCTTGGCGGCGCAGTGCAGCGGCGAGCGCTGAAGCGACGTCAGCCCCACACGGCGCGACAGAATCCGTTGGCATGGCATTGAATGATTGATTCATGTGGTCCAGTTCACCCACACGGCAGCAGCAGAGGGGGGGTAGTCCGTATTCGCCAGTTCCGCCGTGAACGTGGGACGGATCCATTTCGCCACGAGACGAACCACGGAGAGATTAGACGACAGGAAGACCGGGTGACGGTGGGGGAGGCGGTGAGAGACCGGATGGCGGGTAGCAGAAAGCGACAGGCGAATGACCTCAGAAAAAGCGGATAACACCAAACTCGCACATGACCGAACAGCCGCACACAAGCAACTAACTCCTCACAGCATCAACGCTGGGGCAAGCAACTTGTCGCAAGGGTTCACGCTAAAACGGGTACAAGGCCAGACGCAGGAATTGTCTTGGTGTCCTCCTACTGCACAAGGTTTGTACGCCCCTTTTCTACCGCTCTTCTTCGCTCTCACGTTCTTCGGGCCTCGGGCATTGACCTTGTCCGGAGTCGCCTCGAGGATGCTCTTCACCTTTTCCACGTCGCCGGCCATGCAGGCATCGTGGAGGTCAAACCTTCCCTGCTCTCACCACGAGCAGCGGAGGTTGGAAATAGAAACAGGTAACCAGGGGGGGAACAGTCAGCACCTGGTAATACAGATTTGAGTTTCTTCCACCCATCCAACCACCCGGTAGCCCCGGGACGGCTCGGGTAGCGAGGGCGGTATGCCGGGGAAACGGATGCGGCCATAAATGCTGGTTGGCTTCTGCGGCAGGAATTCAACGCTTCCCCCTTTTTGGTTCATTTTTGACAATGCGCGAGAGAGCCGTTTCTTGGCGGTGCATCGCGGTGGTCATACCGGCGTCAGTCTTGCATCGATCGCTTCTCGGGGGATTGTTTTGGACATGCATGATATTTGGGGTACCCTCGATGTGACCACGTCGTATGCGGGAGGTGTATGTGCTGAATTATATGCCGCGAGTTGTGCTGGTTTTCGTTTCCCACACACTCCACACTCTCCAGATGGGTGGGTGCAAGAACTATTTCCTTGCGAGCGACCTCTTTCGTTAGGAAGGTTGCGGTATCAGCGTCTTCAGTATTTGAGTCGGCCAGCGGCTGACATGCCTGCTTCATGTGGGAGAGTCTTGAACATGCAGCCGAGGTTCTAGCAGTAGTTGATTCATGCCTTTAAAGGTTTGACAGAACAAACCTCTGCTAACGAGAGTCCGCATTTTTCAGATTCAAATCGTTTTTACGTACAACCTAAATGGTTTTACCTGCAGAAGCCAATAATGGCGAGTTTCGGATGTACGTTTTGAAAAAATCACTTTCACTTTTAAGGGAAAAGAGAAGTTTACGGCCGTCATAAAAATGAACTTTCGACCCTAAATAGCAAGATTTTGTTATTTAGTACGAAGGGCAGCTGGCGTCTGTTAAAGCTTTTTCAAGTTTTTTCATCTTTAGCTGTTAGTTGCTTTGGTCAAAACCACGCCAGGATGGGTGCTGCTGCACACCTCACCGCACCAACGCATGCCCGCGGTCGGTCATAGAGCTTACTGCCAGCAGTGGGAGGACTCCTGCTTCGGCGCTGACCGAGGTTCATATGTATCAAATTGATGTCGGGGCACGGCTCGCTCTGCTTTTCTTCGAACACACACACCCGCTCACAGCAGCGGCCGGACACCTACTACACTCGCATCGATCGCCCAACACGATAGTGTAGCATGATCCACAACCATACGTATCCTAGGGCATACTCCTGCCTTATGCGTTGTTGGCTCTGGCTTGTAGATAAGCGGGATGCGTTGCGAGAGAGTGAGCGACGAGCGTTTGTGTGTGCTGCAGGCGTTTGTTGCTGCATGCACACCCTGTCTGGGAGCGTGCATATGCATTCCAGCTCAATAACGTCGCGTCATCTCTCACAAGACGCTCACGCTCCACTCAGCGGACCCATCTCGGTTGGTGGCAAGGTACCTCGGAGCTGTGCAGCACGCTGCGTCGAAGGTTTCACCCGAATCCAAGCATCTGTTTGGGGTATGGTGACTTGGTCACGGGCCGTGCTGATCAGATTCCCTCATGGTGACATCGGGACATCACATCGTTAAAAGTAAAACCTTCGGAAAAAAACGGAACTGGTCCCAGGAACTGCTCTTAAAAGTGCAAGTGAACTTTTTCGAAAAATACTTCCGAAACCGTCTAATATAGCAACAATCTCACAGGAGGAATTTTCACATTTTGACAAATTTCCATTCGTGTCTTCGAGGTACTTATTCGTTTCGTGCATTCAGTCATGTACGCTTACACGACACATACTGCAGGTAGCGAGAAGCAAACCAGGACATTCGTGCCAGGAGGCCGAGATCGAGATCGAGATCGAGATCCAGATCGAAGACCGGCTTTGTATCCCTCCCGTCTCAAACCTTACATCGGTATTAATACGTGCATGTATAAATACAAATAGGAAGGTTCATTCAATGGATGCTGCGTGATACCTCTACGTCATAATCCTATGTCCCCGCAGCTACGCACGTGGTCGTGGTTAATGTGCATGGTCTGTGTGGGTGTACGCCAATGCTCTGCAATGTAGTTCAAATTCCTTTGACTGACGGCGGTTACCGCCTTTTCCGGGGTCTTCAAAAATCTGCACAAGGCGGTCACCACTCTTGTAAATAGAAACACGGTTCTTTCCGAGTAAGGCATGGGTCCCTTGATAGAGCGATTCGATCAAGAGTTGCCACTACACCGCGTTGTCGCAGTACCTTGACTACCGCTGAACAGAGATCATCCGTTCGGTTTTGGGCAACATCTCGAACGGGGTAGTCTTCTGTGGTCGTGAGACTTTCTGTGGTCGTAAGACTAAGTACAAATTTGTGAATCCTTCTCCAGAATCTCAAGAATTTCTCTGGGCTGTAATGTAAGACTATCTAAGTACGTCAGTGTCAAACACCGTGTCAATAAGCAAGTAACACGTCAGCATTTGTGTGTGAACAGCTGCAGCAGCTGCAACCAGTCAGCACAAACATGTAGTTTCCAGCAGTCGAGCCATGTCGTGGCGGTGTCAGCAGATGTGCAGAGCAATGCAGACCGTGCAGACCGACGAGCCTCAGGTTGGGACCGACGATGGCATTGCGGCATACATACGCATACTACACACACATACAGATGCGCGCGGCATGCGGGGTTTCAACCAAGAAAAACCCAGAAAACACATAAAAAACGCTTGTACTGATCAACCTGTACAAATGAAGCAACATCACGACGGCTGGCCGGTTTTACGTAACATCATCAGGACATTGGTGTAGTTACTCTCTGGGTGTAGCGAGTCTAAGATGCGGAGGCGCCGAGATGGGTGAACTCTAGGTGCGAGGGTCGGATGCCCTCAAGAGATCTGGATGTGGGCGAAACAAACAAAACTGTTCAGAATCGTTCGCAGGTTCTTCTTGCAGCCAAATTCCTTCGATGTGTGGTCTGCAGACACACCAGGTTCAACCTCACGCGAGAGAGGTTGAAGAGGGGATGCGAGCACGTGGGGCAGGTGGCCCGCTGTACTTTTACGCGGGTGTTGCGCGTCCGCTGACTCCATCGGGGGCAACGGCAATGCCCCGACTCGCTGTACTTGCACGCGGGGTCAGCGTGTCCACTGACGCTGCTCAGTGGCAACACCTCGAAGGAATGCATACGGATCTCCGAACGGGTCATCTGACGTCACATCTACGAGATAATCTAAAAGGTGTTTCGATGGCGAGAAGACAGCATCAACACACACGTCTGGCTCGCTGCTTTTTCAGATCTATCAATTGGATCCATGTAGTTTTTTTTTTTTCATCACTTCAAATCAGCGCTCAGCATTGCTGCCGAGAGATTCCAATCCGTGGTCACACAGAAGGATTCCTCTCCTTGAGTCCCCTACCCATCCCTCGTGCTGTGCTTGCCTTGGATTTGGAATGCGAGTGCTGCACTCTCTTCCGTCAAAGTATACACACTAATTACTGCTGTGGCGCTTGCACATCCGGGAGTCTGACCAGAGATTCTTCGATTCTTCGCAGCGGTGACAAAACGGAACCGGACCCTCAGGTGACTACATATAACCGAGGGCAAAACGATCCACAGCAAACGCTTAATTTACAATGATGATAATACTATTTACCTGCTTGATAAATACCCTCATTCAAAGGGATGCGATGGAAGGCTTTCAGCAGCTGCTACATTGCATAATAGTGGTGAGCGTAAGAAAACCACGCTGTGGTCGCATGCGAAAGGGGAATCCTCCTTACAGGCTTGTGTGCTTGAAGTTGATGTTTACCCGCGTGCGCAACATGCAGAGAGCACGCGCGGCAGGTGACAATTTAACACCACCTTCATTTTATCACCACAAATAAAACGCCGCTCTGTTCAGCTGTTAAGATGTACTCGAGTATGTACGACCACAGGGACGCAAGCGCTTCGATGGCAGTCCGTCATAATGGATTCGAAATTGGAGCCGAACCAAGTGCGGTTTCACACACTCGACCTCACGAGAGCTGATGCGAGATGTCCGTGAATACAGCTGTCACACACCCACTACTGTCACACACCTACTACTGAGGCGGCAATGCGCGCATCTTACAGGCATGTGTGGCGCCGATCCCTTTGGGTGTTTCTGCGAGCCCACGCCCTTGAACAAGTTCCTCCATCTCTCCGAACTGTTTGCAATCTACAGCAGTGTGGGTGCGACATCGGCATAATTCATCTGCTGGGAGGCCTCATCGGCGTTTTTGAAGTCAATGCATGGATGACACACAGCAGTAGCGGTGGGCGCGCTAAAACTTATGAAAGAGACAACCAAGCAAACGCGATGTCCAATGCTATCGCACACTCACCATGACCAAGCTGCTGGGGCGTGTGCTGGCTCTGGGCTGTGGTGTGGGGCGAAGTGGTAGTAGCGGGGATGCCCCGACGAATAGTAAGTTCACCTATGTAGGATGAGCAGGTAGTGTGATTCACGGTGCCTCTTGCACAACCAAAAGCTGAACGAAAGTGTCGCCTGAGACAGACCTCTCTCTATCTCGTCACGGCTGCCACGCACGCACCACAGGTACCTGTTCACAGAGACGGCAGCATGAGTTCACCCAAGCGCCAGCTGCCCATGCATTTGGACAAGGTGAGGATAGAGCATGCCCCCTTTCAAAACTACCCTAGTTACCAGCACTCGTCGTCTAGACCACACCAGGATGTGTAGCACACAAACGGTAAATAAATTCAGAACGGATAATGTCCAAAAGATAGCAGCGGGTTCGGGAGCGCTCTCAGACGACCTCTCTGTAAGCAGGAGTCCAACAAAGGGACAAGAGGATGATTTCTCTAGTTCGCCGTTGTTCGTGTTCGTGTATTTTATTCGCCTCCCACATCGGCGGTGGCCGCTGTTCCTTGGTACCAACTCTTTTGGTTTTGCGACGAAGCACCTTCTTCGTTCTATGATACACTTGCGCATGAGCATGATCGTGAGATCATCCAGGTTAGTTGGAAGAGCCAAACAACAAAACACCGCTTGCTGTATTGTAGTCTACATGATGTGTGTTGTGTCGTCATCATCAAAATATGCAAAAGCCGGGATACGTACAAACAGCACAACAAGGCGCACACAGCGATCGGCATGGTCAGGATTACATACTTGTAGACTACCACACATTATCCGCGCGAGGAATCTGGTTGTCCATATGATACAATCCCGTTTTACCCATGGGGTATCATGCAAGAGTGCACGCACCTATGGCGGATCGCACCAATCGAAGTAATCGCACTGGGGGGCGCGAATAACGTAACAACGGCATGATTGAGTTCGATTTCCGCATCGGTGTCGGTGTCATTGCGCCGGGCGGGTGAGAGAAAACATTGATGTATAACAGGGCACCCGCGCTAGATAGGCACGTATGTACCGCCTAAAAGTGGATTCGGGCTGTGACGGGTATTTGCAGCACAGAGTTGGTACTGCTGTACATGGGGTGAGGTGTATCATCTGGGCGCCACTCCTTACATGTGTCATTGCACTGCTGTCGTGATGCACGCAAAGTCAAGTTTACGCACTCAACGAAGCACACAACACGCTTTTCGCATCCTACAACCCACCCACCCACCCACCCCAACTACGGAGGCAACTCATACAGGGATTACCGTAGTCGCTGAGTAAGACACAAACCGACAGAGGATATCAAACACACACCAGCAAACCAAAATCTGTAAGACAAACCCATAGTATCCCTGCCGGGAACCACACACTCGCTGTTGCATCAGCGGATTCTTTGGTTTGGGCCAAGGGCTTGCGCCGAGTCTCTCTCGCGCAGGGCTCCAGTGTTCGGGCATTCCTGGGGTCACTCGTTCTTCGAACGTTGGCCTTTGTCCAAAGAAACGTAGATTTTCACCCGCTAACACGAACTTGTCTTTATTCATTGGTCGACCGGTCAGCGCGGCTGATTGTTGCTGATTCACACTGAGCTATACCCCCCCCCTTTCGCGCCCGCGTCGCTTGCGTTTCTCCCCTCCCCCCCCCCCCATAATAAAACCGCATCTGCGCGCCATTTGACAACCCCGCTGCTGCTGCTGCTGCTGCTGTGCTTCGCCAGTGGGTCATCACGGTCAGGGAGGGAAAGGTAAATCCGTCTTTGTCGTTTTTTTTTCTTTCGCTAAAGCACTTGCTTACCACACAGCAGTACGTACAGTAGTTCGATGCCTGTAGCGCCCCAACCCCCCAGTCTTCACGGTGGTGTGCTTGGAGAGAGAGGTCTGCCAATCGCGCTTGCACACGAACACGATTCCTCTCGAATGGAGGTTGCGTAAGTATTATTGGTGTTTGGTCTGTTTGTTGACTACTATGATACAATGTGCGTGCGGCGTCATTCCCTCTCGCCCATGTATGAAGCGTTCGCGCGGTCCATATCCGTGAGAGAAGCACATGCACACGCCGGCGGATGAAGTGCATTTTTTTTGTTCGTGTTTTTTTCATGGACAAAAACAAGGTAAATATTTCCCATGGAAGGAATAAGAACACACACACAACACACACAGCACACAGCAGTACACGCCGTTGGCCACATGTCACAGGACTTGACGCGGGGCGAGGCGAACGACTTCTTCCGGAAGATGAGCCCTGTCTGCGAGCTGACGCTTGGTTCGCAGGGCCCCTTCTCGACGGGCGTGAAGCTCAACACCACCCAGCCCTGCTGGGACGACTCGATAGAGTTCGACGCCGCCACCGCCGCCGCTGCCTTGCTGCTGTCGCCGCCCCGCCCGTCGAAGGTTTGTTGTTGTTTTGTTGTTTTTCTTCACATTAAAAGGTAGATCCGTCTGATGTTGGTTGCGGGGGGTTGTTTGTGCACAGACGCTGGGGGGGGGCATGCGTGGTGCGGTGTTCGTTCCCCGATTTAATCAATTTCGTCGTCACGGACATCCACGACCTTCGATCGCCTTGAGGAGAAGAAAATATCAATCTTACGCTGCCTGCTTCTGCTTCTGCTGCTGCTTCTGCTTCTGCTGCTTCTTTCTGCTGCTGCTGCTGCTGCTGCTGCTGCTACTCCTGGTGCTGCTGCTGCCGCTTGTGGTGCACGCGCCCTGGGCCTGTGCACTCGCCGTGCGAAGACCAAGCCGCCTTCCTCGGCGGTCGGTGGGGGCGACAGCGAGAACAATGACGACGATGACCTGCGGCTGCCTACGGTGGGACCGAAGCTCGAGGTGTTCTGCTACAGCAGGGGCAGCCCCGCTAAGGGTGCAACCTCCGGTACGCTCGTAGGGTGTGCATGCTCTCTCTCTCGTGGTGGTGGTGGTGGTGGTGGGATGGAAGGAAGCGTAGACGCTTGCATTGTTGCTGCTGTTGTTGTTGTTGTTGTTGTTGTTGTTGTTTTCTTTGCATGCTTAGACGTACAGACATAGATACCGTCCCGAGCAATACAAGTAGTAGATAGTGATGGTGATGGTTAATACGTAGTGTCACGATACTGCTGTGCCTTTTTCTGGCGTGTTTGATGACGCTCAGCGGTGCACGTCGGCACACGTCGATTCCTCCTTGATCGCCGTTCTTGGTGCAATGCAATACTGCTGCTGCTGCTGCTGCTGCTGCTGCTGCTGCGTAATGCCACAAACACACCTGCGGACGAGCAGCTCCGGCGGGGGGCTGTGGCGTGCCGCCAGGGGGGGGGGAGGGGGGGCGGAAAGAGACGGAGAAGGTGGAGATCGGCAGGGCGCACGTGATGCTGGTCGCCGACGGCGTCGCCGGGGCCGGCAGCCATACCAGAGTGCGGATTCCCCTCTTGCGCATCAACGCCGTCGTGAGTGCGGCGTGATTTTGGTGGGAGACGGCTCTTGCCTAGACGAATCGGCAACGGTGGTGGTGGTGGTGGTGGTGGTGGTGGTGGTGGTGGTGATAGTGTTATTGGTGACGTGGTGACTGTCTGCCTTTTGGGAGGGAGAACACGAGTTTGTGTCGAAGCGTCGCTCGATACGTGTTGCGTGCGAGTTCCAACCGCGTGAGCTGCGTTTGTTTTTTTGTTTCTTGTCCCGTTGTTCACGAGGACACATGCACGTATTTGCAATGCATCTGGTGGCACATTGAAACGCAGAGGCTTCCGCACCAGCACCACCAAGCAGAGTGAGTGCGCCGCTGCTAGGTGCGGTGTCTGCTGCTGCTGTCCTTGGTTTTCCCTCCGTATCCCTGAAATGGTTATCCTCCCCTCCCCCTCTTAAGGACGATGGCCAGCGTCGGGTTCATCCCTGTGGAACGTCGCCTGGGCCAGCGTTACTCGGGCATATCGCTCCGTCCCGGCGTTAGGTGTATCGTCCATCGGCTACGGCATGCGTTTACTTGAGTACACCCCCCTCCCCGCGCACCGCCTCGTTTTGGGTTCGATTTTTCAGGGCTCCCAGGTCCCCGCGGGAAGCGTGATATTGGAGTACATGCTGGTCCCGGTAAGGATAACCTTGTGTATACAGGCGTATTTCTCATGTATGTGAGGGGATTGTCTTGCGTGTTCTAGGCTTGTTTTTGGCACGCCCGTGCACAGTGCGAAAAAGGCAAGAAATATAAAGCTGCAATGTCCTCTAGTACTGTACGGCGGTGGTGCCGATAGGACCCACGTCGACCTCTGCTGATGCTCTTGTCGCTTTGTTTATGAATGACCTGAGGGAGTTCGACTCCTCCCGGCGCGCATGTGTGTTGGTTGTGTTCGTTGCGCGGTTTAGTACACCCGAGGTGTTCCGTGCACGGTGTCGAGCGGTAAATTGCGACAACATTGATGTGGTATGGTACGGAGCTCGTTCTGGGTTGCTCTCGCTGCTGGTCGCGATTCGATTGATGCCGGGCGAAAAGCAGTCATTGCTACTGCTGCTACTGCTGCTGTTTCATCGGGTGTCGATAACCCGAATGTCACCCCAAGCAACAAATGTCGCCCCCGCCCCCGCCCCAACCCCCATGCCTCGGCTTGGACCCCCGCTCCTTGGTTTCTTCCACGCGACTCACGCATGCTTTTTTATCACATGTATTTTCCACCGCGTGCCTAACAACGGTTTTTTTGTTTTCACTGTTCCCGGGGTGTTCGGACAGGGAATTCCGCAACCAGTGGCGCCCGTGTCGACAGAGACGGAAGGGTCGCTTTCGGGGTTGGCTGCGCGTACGACAGCCCCCTTCCGTGAGGACGGGGGTAACGACGGCAGTCGAGGCGGGGTCGGGTCGTGTTGCATGGACGAGCTCAAGAAGCCGGCGCGGAAGGTTAGTCGAGTCCTGTGTGTTGGGGTGTTTGTTTTTGTTTTTAACATCGACCGCGCTAACCGGCTGACCAATGAAAAGACGTCAGTCTCAGTGCGGTGAAAAACACAGACTGTTTCTATAGGCCACGATCTGGGACCCCTGTGACCGAGCATCATGAGGGAGCCCACGCTACTCTGTGGATTAAAGTGTGTGTGTCTTTTGTTTGTTAGCGCCGACCGCGCTGACCGATGGAAAGACGCAAGTGGCTGAAAACAGAAAGTTTCTTCTGAAGGCCATGATCTAGGACCCCGTGAGGGGGCGTCATGAGAGAGACTCGCCTATTCTCCGGATGTGTGGCTTTTGTGTTGTGTGTGTTTTTTGTTTTGTTGATTTGTTTAGCATCGACCGCGCTATCCCGCCGACCAATGAAAAGATGTCTCAGTCTTACGGCGGGCAAAGAGAAATGCTCTTTCGAGTCAACGGCCTCCCCCGGCAGCCTCCCCCCTCCCCCCCCCCCGAGGAAATTGGACGGCACCCGCAGATGTAAAAGTAACACAGTGCCATCATCGTGTAGCGTTCCTGCCTCAGTATCTACTCCTCTTCTCCTCAGCTTCTCCCCCCTTTTCCCCTCTCTACCTCTCCTTCTGTCTGACCTCTTCCCCCTTTTCGCCCCTGCTTTGGCCTTTTCTTTTTTTTGGTACTTCGCGATGGCAACCCACGCGGTGACTGCTGACCGCTATGGCTCACTGCCGCACGCACAAACACCACCTCCCCTTCAACTACAACGACGACGACGACGACATCACAACAACAACAAAAAAAAGCCGGCGCTTCTCGCGTGCGTGGGCGCGGTTATCGCGGCCGTGCTCGCCGTGCGCCTGTCGGGCGTGTGCAGCGCGCGGATGCCCACGGACCTGTCCCCCATCCCCGTCCCCTTCAAGGTCGCCGTGGGAAAGCACAAGGGCTCCAGCACGCACCACATCCGGCTGCAAGGTTAGTAAACTCTTTTTATATCTCTCGCTTTCTCTCCCTCCCTATCTCTCCCCCCCCCCCTGGCTTTCTAAGAAGACTGAA